GACAGCTCGGTTGGAGCTGCTGCTACACAAGGAATTTTGCTGTTTTTCCAACTTGCTAGACCAGAGTGCGAAGCATTCAAAATGAGACTGGTTCAAACTCACTGCGTGCACAGCTCACCGCAAAATGTAATGCGTTTGCCGTTTGTCGTATCAGATCTTTTGATGTTCCAAAGAGACTAACTTTTTTGCATGTTTAGTGCATTATGATTTCGGACTGGGAAGTGGAAGTTTGCATTTCAATTTCTTTCTTCGCACGAAGCTGCTTTCACACAGTCCGAACAGCTAATAGCTTGGAAGTTGACGACCTTCTTTGGTGCGAAGCGTAATGCTGTCTTCCCATGCTGCTGCTGCTCGTAAGCGCCCCGCAGGTGGAGTGGTGAAGCGCGAAGGTCAGAATGGCGCAGTGAAGCGGCCTGCTGCTGCAGCGAAAAACCCAAAGCGCGAGTTCTTGACAGTCGCGAAGAAGCCTGCCGGGAAGAGCCACATTCCCGACCCTACCCTTGTAGACCCGTATGGCCGAAACTACGCTGACTTCGTCGGGGAGCTCTTTGAAGAGTGGAACGACGCCAAAAATTACACCGAGAGCTTCACAGACACGGGCGCTGACGGGAAGAATCTTAGTTTTGAACGTGAAAATTTTGGCCGTTAGGTTTGATTTGGCTTGATTTATCGGCAGGAAACTGAGCACCTTTTTCTTTGGGCGCAGGCCTCGCCGATGCAAGTATGTTTCGTGGCAGAAGTACAAGAATGATTGCACTGTGGAATCGCACTGGCAGCTGATCAAGGGGCGATACCGCTACACAGGCCCTCAAATGAAGGATGGCTCTACAAGGTCGACCTCGCCCAGCTACTGTGGGCCCAACGCCGCCTGAAACCCAGAAAGTTCCGAAGGTGATTGCCGAACTGTGACTCTGCGCCGGACTTGAAAGTGGTTGGAGGAGCGCCAGAAAAGCAAAGCGCAGCTGTTGCTGTTTTCTGTTGCTTGTCGGCCTGGTGAGGCTGCAAGCAGATTAATTACTAAAAATTAGTGGAGGCAGCCTCTCCAGTTTTCTGTGACTGTGTGACTTCTTTCAAGGTAAGATGTTTTTTGACAATAAGGCTTCAGGCAGGCCAGTGCAGGTAAACCCTCCCAAAAATCAAAAAAACTTGTGGGAAAAAATTCGCGAGAGTTTAGTTCCCCGTCATTTTTTTTCAAAGAAGCAATGATTTTTCACCCCTGAAATCTTGGATGGCCCAAGTTGGCGATCGAAATTTTCACGGGATTTTCGTGAAATCCGTGAGATCTTTGGGCTCGGGCGCCCACAGGGGAGATCCCACGGATTCCATGGAATCCACCTGAAATCTGGCCAGGTGGCAGGTGGCATCTGAAGTCAGCTCAGTGTTCCAAACTACAATTTTCCCAAGGTGTTTGCCGCCAGCCACTTTTACCCAGGGATTCCATGGAATCCGTGGGATCTCAGCCTTGTTTTGAAGCGCGGTCTTTTCACAACATTTTGTTCCCACCGCCGAAAGGAGCAGCAGAATCAGAACCAGAATCCGACGTCGACTTCACCTGCTGCCAGTCAGTCGTCTTGGCTTCAAATTTTAAAGTGTTCAAACTCAACCAACAAGAAGGTAGGCTAGGCAGGCCAAATTTTAGTATCGCCTTCCTCTTTTGCAACAATCTTTCTACTCAGTATAGTAATAATATCATGCTAACCTTTTTTGAGGGTGCACCATACCCAGCGACCATTTGGGCGCTGTACCATACCCAGCGACCATTTTTGGGCGCTATACCATGCCCAGCGACCATTTTTGGGCGCTGTTACCTACCGTAGTCAGCGACCTTTCGGGCGCTGTTACCAGTCGGGACAAAGAATATTATATGACAATAGATATTAGTAACTAAGAGCTGATAAATTTAATTCGTCGCGCCGTCGTTCCGTTGTTCATGTTTCAACCAAAGCGCATTCTTTCAGTTGTTCGCTTGTCAAGCGCCTCCGAAGACCCCGACTCAACTCAGTTGACAGCTATTAGACTATGAAATATTGACATTCCTAGTGACGGTAACGACAGTCCAGTCCACTGAGCAAACAGCATGCCAAGCCAAATCGTGGAAGGGTGTTCCATCATCTGTTTTGACTGTAGCTTGATATTAAGTGGGCGCCATGGACAGATTGCGTTCGAGGAGTCGCTCTTGTTTGCGCTCGCCATCTACAAGCATACTTTACACAGACCAAAGTTTTTTGCTCAGACGATGGGCAGCCAGGCGTACCCTGGAGATCTTAGAGAAGATGGACAATGACAAGCCTGCTAAGATGGAACAGGAACGGGCAGCTTCAAAGGCTGATGCTGAGCAGCCGACTCCAACAAGCCCTGTTTCTGAGGTGAAATCATCATCGTTGCCATCCCGACCTGAGGTGAATGAATCTACTTCGTCGAAGGGGGGCAAGGTCATTCCTCCCAGAAATCTGCCTGCAGCAGCAAGCCAACCTGCTCCATGATGAGTGTTTGCTCGTGTCAGTCTGGTGTGTTGTGCAATATGGTTTAATACAGACAGAATAATATGTTTAGGAGCGCCTTTCTGGCGCTTAGGAGCGCCTTTCTGGTGCTTAGGAGCGCCTTTTCGGCGCTTAGGAGTGAGCCCTTAATGGGTGCTTAGGAGGCTTTGGGCGTCGCAATTTTGTGGAGTTCACGCAATGTCAAAGTCTAATTTAATAATAAGTGAAACCTGGCGCCAGATTCTCCAAGGCCCGAACCGCACCTGTAGATTGTTAGCTGCTGCCAGGCGCAACCTGACTCAGAAGCAGCGCTCATGGAACCAAAAGATGAAAGTGAAGGGGATGATCAGGTCATGTTGGATGCTTCGGGCTTTTTTTGCAAGAAATGGTCCACCAAAATCCGAGAGATTTTCGACGAGTGCCCTGCAGGCCCAGCAAGTTATTGGGCTAGGCACGTCAACTCAGTGGAAGCCAAGCAGGCTTTCGTGTCATGGTTGTGGGAAAATTTCCCAGAACGCTCTGACATTCTCTATGTTCACGATGTTGATGCTGCACCCCGTGTGACAGAGAACGACCTTGCCCAATCGCCGCCTGCAGCTTTCCATGTGGCCAGCCTGGCATTCTCGGATCTCTCCTCAATCAAGCCGCCGCCAGGGAAAGAATTGGCTGTGCAGTTGATTGACTTTTTCCTCAAAGAGGGCTTCGTTACTTCGGGGGAACCACTTTTGATTTCGATGCCGGAGAGCCTAGTGGAGGAGAACAGAGGTGTCACTAGCCCATGGGATTCAGAAGGCAAGGTGACTTTGGCCCCCTTCAGTGTTGGCTATGTGAAGGGAAGAGCAAGGGCAACTAGCTTGTTGGCCTTGCTACACGTCATGTATTCCGATGCCACCTTTTCCAACCTTTTCCAAGGAGGACTTGGAAAACCACTGCCCCAAGCTCATCGAGACGGTCACTTCAATTTGGGCACACGACCTTCGCCAGAACACAAAGGAAGACGAGGTCCTGACAAACCTGAGACTCAGTCTGCGGGGGTCTTTGAGGAAGGCCGCAAACGTTGTGCAAATGGCAGCCATGGTGAGGAAGCTGCTGATGGAAGGAGGGACTGACTACATGTCCTTCGTTCGTAGGTGGAACGTCCAGACGGTGGCAGCGCACCAGATTAAGGGGAGGAAGGGGATAGCATTGAAGCTTCTCTTCGAGTCCGCGCCGAAGGATTTGGGTTCCAACACAAAACCAAAAGAGTCGTCGGTTCACCATCATTTCTTTCCATGTGGTTTGGGCGGTTTGGGGCTCCGTTTTTGGTACGCTTTGATAGCCAAACATGTGGCGATCCAACTTCTAGATCAATGTCCTTCCAAAGCAGACAGTTGTAAAAGCCGGATTACTTATTACAACGTTAGGGATCGTGCGCTCGAACCGTCAAAATTGAACGTAATGCTGTTTCAACGGGGGCTGGAAACTTCATGGCAAGTGGGTTTTGACTTCTGTTTATTATGCAGGACGTCCTTGATGCCATTTTGCAGCACGTGGGGCTGATGGGCTGGGCTGACTGTGCATGGAATGAAGAGAATTTGGCAAGCCGAAAGCTCTTCCCAGGCCATCAGTACCCTTCCAAGTGCAGAAAGTGGTCTTCACGCCTGCGAGTCTCTGAGGAGTCTATGCGGCTCATGGTGTCTCGGGCTCATTGGGTACAAGAGCATGCGGCGGCAGGCGTGAAACTGAAGGGCAGCCAAGCGTCGATGGAAAGCTTGGCCGAGAAGGCTGCGTGTCTTGTTGCCTTTAGCAAGGAGTTCTGCAGCGAGCACCCAGTCAGCGCGGCCACCGTCCAGGAGAAGATCTTGCGTGAGTGGGCGCAGGGCAACGAGAGGATTGATATGGAGCTCTCAGCCGCCCTGCTCGAAAAGTCTGAGGCCTTTGTGATTGCTGTGGGTTTCCCTTCTTTCAAGTCTATCCTGGATGAGTCGATCTTCACTGCGCCGGTGAGTTCTTCTCAGGAGGCTTCTTTTTTGCTGTGACAACAAGGATCTCGCATTTTCACGAAAAAGGGTTCCTTTTTTTAAAAAATAGGTGACCCTTTTTTGTGACACGGTTGCAAAAGTTTCAATGCGACCAAACGGGCGCAGCTACAGGGACCAGAAACAATCCAGTTGCCTGACTGGCCATTTTCATTGGTTCGTGTAGCAGGGTCAGGGAGGTTTTACTTTTCATTGTTCTTCTGGCCAGGTTGACCTGCGTGATGCTTTGAAGAAGGACGAGTTTGAGCATGTGATCAAGAAGTTGGATTACGACCGAAAGGTCTTCGAGATTTGGAAGACTAAGTGTGCAGGAGTTGGGTTAGCCAGAATGCATGCCAAGCAGGAGCACATCGTGAATGAACACCGGAAGGTTGTCCAGACTGTTGAGAACTACGTGGAAGGCTGCGTGCGGTTCTTGACCTGGGAAGCCCACAAGTCTGCCGACAGCCTCATCCCCCAGCTCTTGAACTTCCGGATGGAAGCCTTGAAGAAGTTGCGCAACCAGCCGCAACCAGGATCAGTGAGTGATGTCCCATCCCTGGTTCTCATCAATTGGACTGCGCCCTGCTTGTTGCCAGCGCAGCGCCAGAAAGACCATGCCAACGTTTTGGCGTGGGCGCTTCATGACAACGCCAACAGCTGTGGCATCATCCTGTCACCCACCTTTTCGTACCAGAAAGGCAAGACAAGTCTAGAGGAACACGCTGCCTTGAATGTGCTCGCGCAAATGGGCTTCAATTTGGACTACCAGTTCAGCCTCCTTTATGCTGAGCGGTGCGACCTCCGGGACGCAAGGCCCCTCCTGTACCCAGCACGTTTTGCATTTCCTTCGCTTTGGTAGACCTTGCAAAGTCAAACGCTTTCTTCCAGTCAGACCTCAGAAAGTCCGGAAGGACTGAGCCAGTGAAGCAATTGCCTGCGAAGGATTTGAAAGAAGTGGAGGACATGGCTGATGACTCAGTACCCACTTCCTGCAGCAGTGGCTTCGTCACAGGTGCAGCCAAGCATTGCCAGGTTGGAGCCCCAGCCGCTGAGGAAATCCTCAGAAAGCTGTTTTCTGGTGTGGATCTGGTCCCAACACAGACGCCTGCGGTGCTCGTCATTGACCTTTTCCCAAGGGTCGGAGATTTTAGTCAGGCATTTTGCAAGCTTCGCAACTCTTTGACCTCTACAGCCTCTTTGTTCTATGTGGCCGTGGCGGAGAAGGGCAAGGAGGTGGACTGGTTGCGGGCCACTTTGGTGGAAGACCTCGTCGACAAAGTCAAAGCTGAGCAGTTTCAAGTGCCAGGCCAACGCCCTTTCCAGAAGGAAGTCAGTGCAGATTTGCTCGAGGCTTTGCCTGCCCTGCCCGTCATGAACCTGCTGGTAACTACTGGTGAAGGGGACGAGAAGAAGTTGAAGATCCCCAGTTCTTTGGTCAAAAAGTGGAGCTGTGACGAAGACTTTGCCCAAGTCTTTTCGAAGTGGCTGGATGAGTTCTGCGAGGTTTACTCGGTGGCCGATGAGACTGAGAACACTTCTTCGCCCAACAAAAGACCAGCAGAAGGCCAAGATGCTGCCAGTCAGGCCCAGCCATCTCCCAAGAAGTTGAAATTCGACGAGGTTGGCGCAGAGCATTTGACGCCAAACGACAAGATCTCTGAGACGCTTCTTGTGGAATGTAAGCTTGGGGGAAAGGATTCTTTGAATTTCCAAGTTCGAACTGGCAACCGTGCCTACTTCGTCAACCTGACAGGAAACGAGATATCGCTGAAGCCTTATGCTGCTTTGGTTGGTTTCGGCCGTGGTGCTTTCAAGCTTTTCAAGGGGGACGACGTGGTTCCTGAGAAGGCAGTGATCTTCACAATGGGCCCAGACAGCTTGGTTTCTGTCAACGGTGTGATCAGCAGTGTCAGTGAGGCCTTGACAAAGCAGCGGCAGACTAAGCCTGACGCAGTCGTTTGCTACCACAAAGCAAACCCCGTTCCGGAGAAGCCAGGGGAGTTTACATTCACGCAGACCCACAAGGTTGGCTTTGTTCCTCCTGGGAAGAAGGAGGGTGCCCCAGAGGAAGCCGTCACTGCCACCAACTTGGCAGCCCGTGTGAGCATGTCTTCATTCCAGAGCCTGCATTGCGTGGCCTTCGTGTGGCATAGCAAATGGACAGTGAAAGGATTACAACCCATCAAGCCCATGCTGCACCTTGTGAAGGCACTCGTGTTGACGCCGGGCACTGCTTGCAAGCTGAACGCTTAGTAGGCCCTGGCAGTCTCAGAAATTTTGATTTGAGCGTTTTTTGAGTGGACGACCTCTCAGTGTGAGCATTGAACCCGAAGGCTTCAAGCGAAAAGGGCGCAGAGTGTTTGTCCAAGAGTCATTGACCTGTCAGCCTGATGAACCATCAGCCATCCATTTGCATATTTATAAAATCATCATGGCCCAGCCACATCCCTTTTAAAGTAGTTGCGCAGCTTGCGCAGAGGGGGGTAGATGCGCACTTTTCACATACTCAGCGTAAAGCCACAGGAATTATGCGCCAAGTTTCAAAAAAGCCGGAAACAATTGCGTGGAATCTAGTTCTCCTAGTTGGAATTTTGAGTTTGAAATTCCCTTCCCCGCCCACACACACACTCATGGATATTCACACACTCAAGCCACACACTTAGTATTAGACACATTAATTTGCGAGAATTAAAATTTGACCTGGCGCGAATTATCAACCTCTCTATGAGGCACCCCTCGTGCTCTGTATGATGTGCAGCCTCGTGCGTGCCCAGACTGACAAATCCTGGCTCAATGATTAAGTTCTGCTACGCTGACACCTATTCTAAAAAAGTTAACACCTAGCTTAAAGCAAATTTCCTTTTTATTGCTGAGATCAAACAAACCTTCAGGGAAGAACGAGACATGGGAATGGTCGAAGGACCCTTCACCATCGCTGAAGCGGCCGAATACTGTGGGTGCACCCCAGAAGAACTCTGCCCAGGCCCCATGGCAGCCGTTGACGAGGGAGACAAAGTGAGAACCATCTATGATGGCTCCTGGGGGGGGCAAAGACACACGGAGGAGTGTACCACAGCACCTACTGTCATGGACTGCGTCCACTGCCTACACTGGCTGCGTGCCTCCTGTGGGACCGGTCCTTCCGGACGGGCAGGTGCCTCGGGCCCTGATACCCCCAAGGAAGGGCAGGGTCAATGGACATGGCCAGAATCGGCCACAGAATGGCATATCCTCAAGGCAGATGTCACCAAGGCACACAGACGCGTCAAGATCCACTCTCGGGACTGGCGAGCCCAAATTGGTGACGAATGGTGGGTCAACAAGGTGGGCACCTATGGCATGGCAAGCGCCCAGCTCTACTGGGGACGGATGGCAGCACTCCTCCTTAGGATTGTCTATGCAGTGTTTCCTGCAATCGACTGGGGGTTCGTCTTTGTGGATGACTTTGCTTGGCTCCTTCGGGACCACCTAGCCGACCTACACTCCACCGCTCTACTGGTGGCGCTACTCTCATTGGGCGCCCCCTTGAGCTGGAAGAAGACGGCCCTCGCCCACACGAACACGTGG